CGGACGCGCAAGCTCAGCGGCCATGGCTCACGGGCCCAGCCGCTCCGCGGCATGTGGGATCCTCCCGGACCGGGGCACGAACCCGCATCCCCTGCATCGGCAGGCGGACTCTCAACCACTGCGCCACCAGGGAGGCCCTGCATACAGTTTTTTAATGTGAGATTTTCTTTGTAGGGCAAAGTGTGGAGTTGACCTTGACTTAACAACCATGATAATACAGTTGAATTTTCAGACATTTTGGGACCGTTCTTTCATTAAAACTCTTCTCTTTCCTTCAGGGAATACCTCAGTTACCATGTGCCAAAGCATTATACAACTACGAAGGCAAAGAGCCCGGGGACCTTAAATTCAGCAAAGGTGACATCATCATTTTGCGGCGACAAGTGGATGAAAATTGGTACCACGGGGAGGTCAACGGGGTCCATGGCTTTTTCCCCACCAACTTCGTGCAGATTATCAAACCGTTACCTCAGCCCCCGCCTCAGTGCAAAGCACTTTATGACTTCGAAGTTAAAGACAAGGAAGCCGACAAAGATTGCCTTCCGTTTGCAAAGGTAAAGTGAGAACAGCATCACCTTCTCTGTACCTGGCTGCATAGACTATGGCTTCTGTTTCCTTGTGCAAAAACATATGATAGTTTCATGTGAACTATCTCACTGCGCTTCTAAAAATATCTGGAAGCAGGCTTCTCAGAGTCACAAAGACAGTAATTTTGTGCACAGACTGTTCTCTGTGAAAGATAATTTTGGTTGATGTGCTGTGTGGTATCATTTTTGTATTTAGGGCCTAAATGTAATTCTGAGCTACATTTCGGGGTGTGTGTGCGCCAATCGGAGATTTTAATTCCCTGAATTATGGATAACAAAATGAAACATCATTACTTCCTTATTTTATATGAAAATGTCTTTGCTGAAAAGCACACAAGACTATATCTACTGAATTGATAAAATGCTTTGGGATTTTGAGCAGAATGTTGTGTTTTTTTTGGTAAAGAAAAACAGTAGGGTGTACACTTAAATGGGTATTCGGTGTGTTATCAGAGAAAAAGTGAAAAGAACCTGAAAATTAATCTGGACCAGGGGTTCAGGGGGCCTGGGTGGGATGTGAGGTTGCAATTTGTGGGTCTAAACAAATTCAGCCGTCAGCCCCTTGGTGGAGGGGCTGGTCGTTTACAGCTGTCTGGTCTGATGGGGGATGCCAAGCTGACTGGTAATTACCATTCAGTTCATCAGCTTCTTCCATTCACATCCTGAAGACACATCATGGAACTTTTACTCATGTACTCTTACGACTTGAGTCCCATATTGAAAAGAAAATTAGGTGGCGAGCTTCCTGGGATGAGGTGGAGTAACGTTCATTGTTTCTTCAGGATGACGTTCTGACTGTGATCCGCAGAGTGGATGAAAACTGGGCTGAAGGCATGCTGGCAGACAGAATAGGAATATTTCCAATTTCGTATGTTGAGGTAAGTCAGTCTGTGGAAACGTCAGTTGTGTTAGTGTTCTGCTTAGCAAATCAGTCTTCAGTGTGCAATTTGAGTATTCAGAAATCCTCGGGACCGCTTCTCAGTATGTACCTGCGTCACATCGTTGTTGCACACCTTGAACTGATACAGTGTTACATGTCCATTATGTCTCAATAAAACTAGGGGGAGAAAAAGAAAGACAAAAACCTAATCGATTAATAAAAAAAAAAAAAGGCCCTCATAGCACAAAGCCCCAGGAACGCACCTGTTCTCAATCCTGGGATGGAATTTCTCTACCCTGCCCTGCAATTCCTGAGAACCAGGAGACTGAAACGTTTGAACTCTGAACTTTGCCCCCTGCTAAGAGCATTGGTGTGTCTGTTGAATGGGACCCTGGGCTCCCTGCCGGCCCCTGTGCTGTCTGCAGCCACTCTTTTCTGTCGGCAGCTGTGTGGTCAGAGGCTGGTGAAGGTCCCGACTGAGGTGGGAGATGCGTGTTTCTGTCTGTTTACGCGTTCTTCCACGTGCCCCACGTCTCAGAACTGCGACAGCGATTTGCACGGTGGCCTCCAGAAAACGTTAAATAAGCAATGAACTGCCTTCATCCCATCCCAGCAATAACTAGCCACGCTGCCCCCTTTAACCAGCTTTACTCGGAAAGGCACGGCCAACCCGATTCAGCGAAGTCTTCAGTGAAGGCTTTTTAGGAATATGTGTAAAGTAACATGTATTATTTTAAAGAATAACACAAATTAAAAATGGACTAGGAAGTTACATTCAGCCTTATTACATCATATATCATAAACTTTCTTTTTTTTTTTTTACATCTTTATTGGAGTATAATTGCTTTACAATGGTGTGTTAGTTTCTGCTTTATAACAAAGTGAATCAGTTACACATATCATAAACTTTCATGTCCTTTAGTCATGAGACTTTCTTGTCAAAAACAAAATTGAGGGGATTTTCAAACAACGAAAGACCAGCCCAAACAACCGTACAAGGTTAGCTGAGGTCACAGAAGGCTTCTGGGAAGAAGCGATTTCTTAGTGATGTCTGTGTCCTGGGTAAATGTGCGTGGAAAAGGTGCATTGTTATGGCAGAAAGGACACCCATGCCGCACAACCAGCGTGTGCACAGGCCAGAAAGTAAGAGACAGCACAGATCGGGAAATTGAAAGTAATTCTCTTAAGATATCAAAGCATGTATCTTAAGATGTAAAAAAAGAAAACCCACACCACTTGTGTTCCCGTCTTTTCATCTGAGGCATTTATTTTGGCGTGGTTCTGAGGACAAAAATGACAAATTGTGTCATCATAGCCAGCGTTCAGTCTCCCACAGACTGTGAGATGGCCAGTGTTTTCCTAGTTGAACTCCCCTGGACTACCGTGCATCTGAGGAAAGGTAATTCAGACCACGTAAAAGCCTTGAAGTTTATCCGTATCCTTCTGGTGTTCCTGTTTATTAAAATATTTTTTCCTCCTTTGAAAGTAAACAGTAGAAAAATAATTCTCAGCTCTCAGGTAATCCTTCCTGCACATTATTTGCATATTCTAACTGCGGTCACGAAAAGTTACACGCGTTCCCAAGTGTCTGAATCGTTACAGTGAGGAGTGTGGGTACCGCAAGCTTAGTCGTGAGAGCCTGTCTTCGCTTGCTGGGTATTAGCAATAGTACGTGCTAGCACTTGGCATGTGAGGCGTGGAAGAGGACTGCTGTGCTTTTGTTACTGGGCAGGTGTAGAATTGCATGATAGGCATAAAAGATCCACCCACGGCAAACCCAGAGTCACCGAGAGTCACTTGAGTCATGAGGATTATTTACTCTAGCTTCGGTTGGAAAGATAAACTTCTGCCCAAGTGGAAAGTACTTTCATTCTTCTGCCTCTTTTCTTTTACAAGAGTATTTTCCTCATTTGAACCACAGTTTTGCCAGTTGAGACGAGGTGAACAAATCATCTCTCCCGGGGAGACCGTGAGCTTCCCTTTGATGTCAGGCCATCGGATGGAAGTTTCTGGCACCTGGGGATTAGCATGGGGATTCAGCCTTTAGGGGAAGAAGGGGTGGCAGATTTCAGTAGCAACCTACCAAAATTCAGCCATTCAGGTAAAGCGTAGACTGTCTTACAGGGCAGCCTCACATGGAGCGAAGCCAGCTAACCATGGGAATCAAAAACCAGGGCTTTTTCCTGAATAATGTCTTTCTCTTGCTCTGTAAACCCCTTTAGGGTCCAGACCATACCTCGCTGTAAAAACAGACTGTGTTACAAAAATCCACTTGCAAGTTATTTTCTTATACCTTATAGATATACATTTAGGTTTCCACCAGTGTTAGGTGCTTTTGCTTTTTTTTTTTTTTTTTTTTTTTTTTTTTGC